GAAACAGAAACGTTACTTCTTCTCTCCCTATTCAGATAAAGAATCATCTGTTATGGTGGACAAACTGGGACATTCTAATAGGTCCCTCTCTCTGGGTTCCGCCTCAAACAGGTTTGGTCGTTTGTACGGATGCGTCCAAAATAGGATGGGGATACCATTCTTCAAAAGGGGAATTCAATCAAGGGAAGTGGAGCAACTTCCTTTGGGACAAACACATAAATATAAAACAATTAACAGTGGTCCTATTCTTTTTGTCGGCAAACCCAAATTTACAAAACATGACTATCCTGTTTGCGATGGACAACAAAACGGCAGTGTTTTGTCTCAATCATCAAGGGTGAACAAGGTCTTGGCCCCTTCTACAACTGTCAGAAAAATTTTTCAGTATTTGTGCAACACAAACACTTTACCTCAAAGCAACTTATATACCAGGAGTGCAAAACAATTGGGTTGATGCGCTGTCCCGTCTCCGGCCAGTATCGACAGAAACAGAATGGTCCCTATGGGTATCGGAGTTCAAGAGTCTAGTGAAGAAGTTTGGAACTCCACAGATAGATCTGTTTGCCTCCCTAACAAATCACAAGATGCCAATTTATGCATCTCTGGAAGGGTCAAATCTTTTAGGAAATGCCCTCCTCTTAGATTGGAACCTTTGGAATTCAATCTATCTATTCCCACCTGTGAAAATATTGCCCAAAGTGGTTCACAAACTCAGATCCTTCTGAGGCAAAGTCCTCTTAATTGCACCATATTGGATCCTACAGCCTTGGTGCCTGGATCTGCTCGACTGGTGCCCGAATCCTCTACAATTGTAACAAGGATGTCTAGACCAGGTACTATATTCTCAGTTCTATATTCTCAAGAATCTTTTTCAACAATTTATCAAGTTAACAACTCCGGATTCATTATCGGAAACAGTTGTATTAGAATATTTAGAATTTCTGTTCAGAGTTAAAGGCCTTCAAGTATCGACAATTGCATCTTATAAATCAGCATTGGTTGACCCTCTGGCTTGGGGTTTTAATATTACCTTCAACCCAAGGCTTTATCAAATGCTAAGATCGTCCTTTTTCATTCAGGGACCTCCTCGACCCAAGAGAATCCCGCCTTGGTCTCTGGAAAAAGTTACTAATCTTCTTATGGGGCCTAATTACATTATAAATCTGAACAGGGATAAATTACTCCAGAAGGCAGCTTTCCTTCTAGCAATAGCAACGGGTATGAGAATCGGTGAACTGATTTCAATTTCCAATAATCCATCATTATTGGTATTTTCTGACGAGGATGTTATCTTTTTTCCTTCGGAGATCCTAAGAAAAAATGAAAGGGAAGATTTCCAAGCTCAACCTATTAGGATAAAACGTCTAATGGATGAAACAAGGGTTCCTCACATATTGTGCCCAGTTAAAAATCTTCAGGAACGGTTAACCAAATTCCCTAATCGAGGCCCTTATGTTTTCTCATCAAGGGATGGTAAGAAATTATCTCCTAGTCAATTGACAAAATCCTTATCTCAATTAGTGAATCAAGCAGAGCCTGGCAAGAAATTTTTGGCACATGACACTAAGAAATATGCAGGGTCTGTGGCCTTTCTGTGGCATATGAGTCTCAGTCAGATTAAGGAAATGGGCTTTTGGAGATCTTCAAAAACTTTCAAAGACAGCTATCTTCATCTGTCTCTGAGAGATGCTTCAAATGTGGTGGTGCCGAGTTCCCCTCCCCCACTTAGTCAATCTCCACTACCAGGAGCTTCTTCCTCATCAGAATAAAGTGAGTATCCTTTTTGTGTAACTAAATATTTTACCTTCCGGTAAATGTTCCTAATTTTGGAAATATTCCAAATGGTTTATAATATAATCTGGACCTCAGTCAGCAGAGCCTTGTATGCAAAGTCACCTCCCTCTCCACCTCCTGCTCGGGTATTCTTATTGTCGTCGCATTCAGAGCGTGAACAAAAAGCCGTTTTTTTTCTAAAAACAGTTTGTGTGATATAGCTCGGAATGCGACGTCCATAACCCACCCATCTCCACCCCTCGAGAGTTGACTTTTATTTACTGTTCGCTCTGAGGCAAGAGATGAGGGTCGTGATGCGTATATTGGGGGGTGAAGAAGGGGGTTTGAGAATTGCAATTAAATGGCAGGTAGCAAAGTGTCCTCCTTTTATTACTTATTAAGTAATTATTAGATGTTTTAATTGCCTGTATGTTGGCCTGGCAAATTGGCTAGGAATTAACATACCTAGGTAACATATGCTGACGTCGCATTCCGAGCTATATCACAAAAACTGGTTTTTAGAAAAAAAAAAAAAAAATTTCTGGACGGAAAGATCTAAAATCCACCTCAATTTGTCGCTGCCTTTCTTGGGGACTGGGAACAGGCGAAACATGAAACACTTCTCTGACTGCAACAGTTCTATCACACCTTTGTTTAACAGTTGAATTACAAATTCTGAGTTAGGGGGTTGGTTTTTTTTACCCCTTTTTGGTAACACTAGGGGAAGGTGCCTCAACCAAGTACATGTGAGGCCCCCTTTGATTGTCATGTAAGCCCATATGGAAGAAGTCCACCTGTTTTCCCAACCCCCTAGACGACCCAGATGTCTGTCTTCAATGGGAGGGAGTGGTCACTGATGTGGCGGAATAAGGTCTCCTTCCACTTCTGAACAAACGGCCACCCCTACTACATCTTGAATTGTTATCCCCTCTAAAGTTTCCTCCAGGTTGATAACTGAACCTAGCCGCTGGTCCTTCCTCTTTTAGATTTCCGAAAGGTCTTAGAACTCCTGGGAACAGTAATATTAATAGCTTGCTCAACAGCTGATCTATACTTAGCTAATGCTTATTCCTCAAACAAAGCAGGAGAAAGAAGGGAAGAACATAGCAATAAATAAGCACTACCACTTGAAGCATTATTTGTGGCTTGCTTCCTTAGCTGGGCTTTTAGTGTAAGGGCTTTCAACAACATTTACATAAATGAGTTGTACAGGGAATATGGAATCCCTTGTATAGCAGCAGCAAAACATCTGTCTACTTATGAACTGTCCTCATAGTCCAGCACCAACTTCGTCAATAACTGACACATCATGATTGCAGACCAAATATCTGCTGCCAACTTCCTAAATTTGAACTCTTCAAGCAACAGTGCAGAAGCAACTGGATTCAAATTTATTTCATAGCTTACATCAGCATATTTTTGAGCCGACAAATACAGTATAAAGGTGCTCCCCGACTTACGACAGGGTTAGGGACCCAAATCCAGGTCGTAAGTCCGAATGGTCATAAGTCCGACAGATAAAAAATAAAAATAAAAAATAAATCTAATTTTTTTTTTAAATAAATAAAACTACAATGAAATACAGTACAGTAAAATTAATAAATAATGAGGAATGGATACAGTACAGTAAAAGTAATAATTAATGAGGAATGGATACAGTGTGACTGAGCACTTACCTTTAATGTAGTCAGCTGAATGCACACGGGGCCCACATAATTTTCTAATTATGCATGGAGACTACATTAACTGGAAACGTTTCGGTATAGAAAATGCGCGCGTCATTTTTTAAAAAAGAATAAAAATTCGCAGAGCTCTCTTTTGTGTGTATTTACAGCTGAATCGCCAGGCAAGAGATGAAGGTCGTGATGCGTATGGCGGGGTGTGAAGGAGGGGGTTTTGAGAACCGCAATTAAATGCCAGGTAGCGACGTGTCCTAATATTACTTATTTAAGTAATTATTAGATGTTTTAATTGCCTGTATGTTGGCCTGGCAAGTTAATGCTAGGCATTTACATTCCTAGGTATAAAGCTAGACGTAGTACTCAGGACTACAGTATTACCCCCGCTTTACGCATATTTTTTTACACTTTTCCACGTTTACGCGGTACCCTGTCGAACATGGAATGCTCACTTTACGCGGTGCGTGTACTCTTTTACGTGGAGAGTGGCTGGCAGTCATCTCGCGCCGTGCCATTTTTGGATTCAAACCATCTT